TGCAGGCTGCTTCAGGTGGTGTCGAGGGGTGTGCAGGCTGCTTCAGGTGGTTGTCGAGGGGTGTGCAGGCTGCTTCAGGTGGTGTCGAGGGGTGTGCAGGCTGCTTCAGGTGGTGTCGAGGGTGTACAGGCTGCTTCAGGTGGTGTCGAGGGGTGTGCAGGCTGCTTCAGGTGGTGTCGAGGGGTGTGCAGGCTGCTTCAGGTGGTGTCGAGGGGTGTGCAGGCTGCTTCAGGTGGTGTCGAGGGGGTGTGCAGGCACGCTTCAGGTGGTGTCGAGGGGTGTGCAGGCTGCTTCAGGTGGTGTCGAGGGGTGTGCAGGCTGCTTCAGGTGGTGTCGAGGGGTGTGCATGCTGCTTCAGGTGGTGTCGAGGGGTGTGCAGGCTGCTTCAGGTGGTGTCGAGGGGTGTGCAGGCTGCTTCAGGTGGTGTCGAGGGGTGTGCAGGCTGCTTCAGGTGGGTGGTGTCGAGGGGTGTGCAGGCTGCTTCAGGTGGTGTCGAGGGGTTGTGCAGGCTGCTTCAGGTGGTGTCGAGGACGTACAGGCCGCCCCAGGTGGTGTCGAGGACGTACAGGCCGCCCCAGATGGTGTCGAGGGACGTGCAGGCCGCCCCAGGTGGTGTCGAGGGACGTACAAGCCGCCCCAGGTGGTGTCGAGGACGTACAGGCTGCCCCAGATGGTGTCGAGGACGTGCAGGCCGCCCCAGATGGTGTCGAGGACGTGCAGGCCGCCCCAGATGGTGTCGAGGACGTGCAGGCCGCCCCAGGTGATGTCGAGGACGTGCAGGCCGCCCCAGGTGGTGTCGAGGACGTACAGGCTGCCCCAGATGGTGTCGAGGACGTGCAGGCCGCCCCAGATGGTGTCGAGGACATGCAGGCCGCCCAGATGGTGTCGAGGACGTGCAGGCCGCCCCAGATGGTGTCAAAGGGTGTGCAGGCCGCCCCAGTGGTGTCGAGGACGTACAGGCCGCTCCAGGTGGTGTCGAGGACGTACAGGCCGCCCCAGGTGGTGTCGAGGACGTGCAGGCCGCCCCAGGTGGTGTCGAGGGACGTACAGGCCGCCCCAGGTGGTGTCGAGGACGTACAGGCTGCCCCAGATGGTGTCGAGGACGTGCAGGCAGCCCCTAGTGGTGTCTAGGATGTGCAGGCCGCCCCAGGTGGTGTCAAGGGGCGTGCAGGCCGCCCCAGGTGGTGTCGAGGACGTACAGGCCGCCCCAGGTGGTGTCGAGGACGTGCAGGCCGCCCCAGGTGGTGTCGAGGACGTGCAGGCCGCCCCAGGTGGTGTCGAGGACGTGCAGGCCGCCCCAGGTGGTGTCGAGGACGTACAGGCCGCCCCAGATGGTGTCGAGGACATGCAGGCCGCCCCAGATGGTATCAAAGGGTGTGCAGGCCGCCTCAGGTGGTGTCGAGGGGTGTGCAGGCCGCCTCAGGTGGTGTCGAGGGACGTGCAGGCCGCCCCAGGTGGTGTCGAGGAGCGTGCAGGCCGCCCCAGGTGGTATCAAGGGGCGTGCTGGCCGCCCCAGGTGGTGTCTAGGACGTGCAGGCCGCCCCAGGTGGTATCAAGGGGCGTGCAGGCCGCCCCAGGTGGTATCAAGGGGCGTGCAGGCCGCCTCAGGTGGTGTCGAGGGGCGTGCAGGTCGCCCCAGGTGGCTCAAACACCAGGCCTAATTCACGATGAAGGACGCGAGCCACCTTCGCTGTGGCACAACTTTAACCCCTGTGACCTAGTGACACAAAGGTGGCTTTCATTCATAAGTCAGGTGCGTAGAGCCCTTACTACCGCCCTCCTGTCTCGTAGCGTTGAAGGAGAGGCGTCAAGTGATCGTTGTTGATAGTATTGGTGTATTGGAGGGGTTGTCTAGCAGGTGTGTGGGTGTCTAGCAGGTGTATGGGGGGTTGTGCTAGTGTGTGGGGGGTGTCTAGCAGGTGTGTGGGGGTTGTGGTAGTGTATGGGGGTGTTTAGCAGGTGTGTGGGTGTCTAGCAGGTGTGTGTGGTGGGTTGTGGCAGTGTGTGGGGGGTGTCTAGCAGGTGTGTGGTGGGTTGTGGTAATGTGTGGTGGTGTCTAGCAGGTGTGTAGGTGTCTAGCAGATATGTGGGGGTTGTGGTAGTGTGTGTGTGGGTGTCTACCAGGTGTGTGGGTGTCTAGCAGGTGTGTGGAGGTGCAACAGGTGTGTACCTCCAGCATGTACAAGACAAGGACCACTCGTCAGACTCACCAATGAATCTCTCGTAAAAGAAATAAAAAGGAATATAATAATAATAAAAATAATAATTATTGATAATGTCTTATCGCAGCCATAATCACGTAAGATAAAAAAAAACCACACTTGTCTATTTGAGAAAATTATGTAAGCAATTGACACCAAGTCTTTCGCACTCTCCCTGAGTGCTTTCTCAAAGTCTGAGTGTGTGGGTAGGACCAGACGTCTAATCTCAACGTCTAATCTTATTAGAATTTGAGATATAAGTCTCGTCCAGTTAGTTTTAACAACTGGTATCAGGGACCAATATTTGGATCCTCATTTAGCAAGTTAACAGTTAGTAAAGGTGGATTATGGCTGCTGTTAACACTCTCGTGCTTGTCTGGTAGGTAAACAGGTAGCCATTACTGGCATTGTGGCTCACCTGGGGCCAGATTCACGAAGCAGTTACGCAAGCATTTAGGGGCCAGATTCACGAAGCAGTTACGCAAGCATTTACGAACCTGGGGCCAGATTCAAGAAGCAGTTACACAAGTACTTACGAACCTGGGGCCAGATTCACGAAGCAGTTACGCAAGCACTTAGGGGCCAGATTCAAGAAGCAGTTACGCAAGTACTTACGAACCTGGGGCCAGATACACGAAGCAGTTACGCAAGTACTTACGAACAAGGGACCAGATTCAAGAAGTTACGCAAGCACTTACGAACCTGGGCCCAGATTCAAGAAGCAGTTACGCAAGTACTTACGAACCTGGGGCCAGATTCACGAAGCAGTTACGCAAGCACTTACGAACCTGGGGCCAGACTCACGAAGCAGTTACGCAAGCACTGACGAGCCTGTCCCATCTTTTCTCAATCTTTGGCGGCTTTGTTTACAATTATTAAACAGTTAATGAGCTCGGAAGCCCCAGGAGGCTGTTTATAACAATAACAACAGTTGATTGGCAAGTTTTCATGCTTGTAAACTGTTTAATAAATGTAACCAAAGCCGTCAAAGATTGAGGAAAGATGTACACGTTCGTAAGTGCTTGCGTAATTGCTTCTTGAATCTGGCCCCTGGTTCGTAAGTACTTGGGTAACTGCTTCTTGAATCTGACCCCTTGGTCGTAAGTACTTGCGTAACTGCTTCTTGAATCTGGCCCCAGGTTCGTAAGTACTTGCGTAACTGCTTCTTGAATCTGGCCCCAGGTTCGTAAGTACTTGCGTAACTGCTTCTTGAATCTGGCCCCAGGTTCGTAAGTACTTGCGTAACTGCTTCTTGAATCTGGCCCCCAGGTTCGTAAGTACTTGCGTAACTGCTTCTTGAATCTGGCCCCTGGTTCGTAAGTACTTGCGTAACTGCTTCTTGAATCTGGCCCCAGGTTCGTAAGTGCTTGCGTAACTGCTTCGTGAATCTGGCCCCTAAGTGCTTGCGTAAATGCTTCGTGAATCTGGCCCCTTGGTCTCTTCCTATCGGTATTTACGTGGAGTGGGTGGGGGAAATTACCAGTCTTTCCCTAGAATGACTGCGGGGAAAGTAATATTATTTCCCTGCAGTGACTGCGAAGGCGCCAGTCTTTCTCTGTGGTTGTGTGTGTGTGGGGGGGGGGGGGCAAGTGCAGGTGTGTACGAGAGGAGACAGGTGTGTGGGAGGGAGAAGTGCAGGTGTGTTAGGGGAGGATATACGCGTGATATCCACCCCATTCATTAGCTTAATGGGTGTGAGAGTGGCTTGGTGTTTAATGGGGACCATTTGTAGGTATCTCTGTCAGCACCAGCTGAGGTGAAGCGTTGACAGCTGCCTCGTATCCGTCTATAATGTTGACAGCTCCCCGTACCTTTCCCCCCCCCCTCCCCTCGTCTACAAAGTTGACAGCTCCCCGTACCCCTTCTACAATGTTGACAGCTGCTCCTACCCCCTTCTACAATGTTGACAGCTCCCGTACCCCGTCTACGATGTTGACAGCTGCCCGTACCCCGTCTACAATGTTGACAGCTCCCCCTACCCCCCCCCCCCCACGTCTACAAAGTTGACAGCTCCCCGTACCCCTTCTACAATGTTGACAGCTCCCGTACCCCCTGTCTACGATGTTGACTTCGGTCAAGTTCCGTCAGCTGGGGCAAACTTACCGCTGGTAATGAGCAGACTTACAAACTTGACAATCTCCAACCCATAATTAACTGCTAATTTACGCTATTATAACTTTGTGATAGCATGGGGGGGGGTTTTGTGTGTGGTCTCCATGTTGAAGAATGATTCAATAATTAGTAGTGAATGTTTTCACAGTGGCGTGTGATAGGCTGTTTTTGGCGGGAGTCTGGGGCCAGATTCACGACGCAAGCACGCAGATTCACTACGCAGATTGTTACGCAAGCACTTACGAACCTGTACATCTTTGCTCAATTTCTTGGCGGCTTTGTTTACAATTATTAAACAGTTAATGAGCTCCGAAGCACCAGGAGGCTGTTTATAACTATACCAACAGTTGATTGGAATGTGTTCATGCTTGTAAACTGTTTAATAAATGTAACCAAAGTGCTGCTTTGTTTTTCAGAGTGGTAGACAGTTGAAGCAAGTGATAATAGAAGGCGGTGGAGGCTAAAACCGTCAGTAGGTTCAGAGTCACGTGACTATTTATTACATATATTACATAATACATATTACATAAGAGTAAGAATTACAGTAACATTACTAGTAATATTGACACACTATACTAGTAGTAATGAGGTGATTAATGATTAATAAAAATGATAATAAATTATGTTTCAGCTCAAGTGTGTCTCATAACGACTCTTGTCTTATTGGCTGTTGTTTCCCTCGGACAGGACCAATGAGCGTGAAGAATGTTGGTGAGTGGGCGTGGCATCGTGTGGGCGGTCGGGGTGATCGTCCTGGTGGGCGGAGTGACCCAGCGGGTGGAGGCGAGGGCGGCCCTCTCACAGGAAATGGTAAGTTCTCCCTCTCATTTTTTTTAAGTAGAGAGGAAGGAGAGGCATAGGTGAAGGGAAGTATAGAAGTGGGAAATACAGTGAGAGGTATGAAAGCTGGCGGACTGTCCGCCTTGCTGACACCATGTGGGCTGTCCGCCTTGCTGACACCATGTGGGCTGTCCGCCTTGCTGACACCATGTGGGCTGTCCGCCTTGCTGACACCATGTGGGCTGTCCGCCTTGCTGACACCATGTGGGCTGTCCGCCTTGCTGACACCATGTGGGCTGTCCGCCTTGCTGACAACCTGTGGGCTGTCCGCCTTGCTGACAACCTGTGGGCTGTCCGCCTTGCTGACAACCTGTGGGCTGTCCGCCTTGCTGACAACCTGTGGGCTGTCCGCCTTGCTGACACCATGTAGGCTGTCCGCCTTGCTGACACCATGTGGGCTGTCCGCCTTGCTGACACCATGTGGGCTGTCCGCCTTGCTGACACCATGTGGGTTGTCCGCCTTGCTGACACCATGTAGGCTGTCCGCCTTGCTGACACCATGTGGGCTGTCCGCCTTGCTGACACCATGTGGGCTGTCCTTCTTGCTGACACCATGTGGGCTGTCCGCCTTGCTGACACCATGTGGGCTGTCCGCCTTGCTGACACCATGTGGGCTGTCCGCCTTGCTGACACCATGTAGGCTGTCCGCCTTGCTGACACCATGTGGGCTGTCCGCCTTGCTGACACCATGTAGGCTGTCCGCCTTGCTGACACCATGTGGGCTGTCCGCCTTGCTGACAACCTGTGGGCTGTCCGCCTTGCTGACAACCTGTGTGGGTGTTGGCTCCTCCCTCTCACCTGCCACAAACTGTGCTGGTGGTGCAAACCGTCCTCTTAAAAATAACGTCACTTTTGGCTCGTATGCGCACTATGGCCAAATTTGGACGTAATTTGAAATGAAATCGACTCACAAAAGTGACGTTCTGTTCCGTTTTCTATTTGAGTCGCCCGGCGTACGCGGAGAGGTTAGAAGAGGACACTTTAAATTAACGTTTTTCATAACGTTTTGAAACTTTATGAGAATTCCTGCCCACCTAACCTATCAGAGGACCCTTAACTTACTGTTGTTGAAAAAAAATCCCTAATTTATTTTCATTTTTTTTCATTTTCAAATTACGTCCAAATTCGGCCATACGGACAAACGGCCAAAAGCGACGTTCTTTTTAAGAGGACAGGTTGGGTGGTGTCCCCCTTCATAGAAAATGGAATCTGTCAGTAGAAACATATACTGCAACCCGTTCTCGCAAATTCGTAAAGTCAATATTGACTTATTAACTACGTGCATAGGTGATATACTAAACATAATAGATACCCTTAAAAAGATTCATAGAAAACACCGACCTTACCTAACCTTGTTAGTATCTTAAGATAAGCATCTTATTGCTTCGTAATTACAATTATTACTTAACCTATACCTATTATACGTTAGGTAATAATTGTAATTACGAAGCAATAAGATGCTTATCTTAACATACTAAGTAGGTTAGGTAAGGTCGGTGTTTTCTATGAATCTTTTTAAGGGTATCTATTATGTTAAGTATGTCACCTATGCACATATTTAATAAGTCAATATTGATTTATTAAATTTGCGAGAACGGGTTGTATACTGACAGCTTATCTGAACACGGCTATAGTGATAGCTTCTTCAAGAGTAAGCTGAGTGACATGGTTAGCTGGGTATCCCGCCTATATGGTGAAAATTCGCTTGAACGAATTTCAGAATGATTTTTTTTCTAGAAAAAGTCGTAAGTGTAAATCTCCGCTCTCAGCAGCGCATGACTTTGATGCGCTGTCAGGGTTTACGAGATAGGTACAATGACGGTGGTTGAGCAGTAGAAAGTTAATTGTAGTTTGGTGCTCTCTAAGGTGAAATATTGTTGCACACTAACAGCCCCATTCGAAGCTGGAGAAATTGCTGACCTGGAGAGCGTGCAAAGTTTTCTTACGGTGCAAATTCACTCGGAAAAACACTAATATTGGAGCTGCTTAGCAATTTTAAATCTGTATTCTCTAGAACGCAGCAGCCGGCAGCTCTATCCACTGAGCCACCAGCATATATCCCTGGGGTCTATGGTTCAAGGCTTGTACGGTCCGAGAGAATGAAATGTTGCTGTCAAAGATATGGGCCAGTCCTCGAGTTATCTTGCAAGACTTAGAGCTAACTAAGTCTTGCAAGATAGATGATAGAGCTAACTAAGTCTTGCAAGATAGATGACTATCATCTAGCTTGCAAGACTTAGCTAGCAACACTTACTGGGCCAGCCAGAGGCTTAGGGCCCGTGCAGGAATATCCCTGCACAAAAAAAACTTGCAAGACTTAGTCATCCTGCCTGGCGCTGATTGGTTCCTATGGCAGGTAAAAAGCGTCGTGGTTTTGCCGAGATATCATAAATGATTGATAACTGTTGAAAACTCTATGGAAAACAAACCCCACATTTCACACTTCATAGGAGACCCTGGGATTCGGAATACGAGCAGATCCTTAAAGGTGTTCCTTGAAGCCGACCCTAGACCTACCTATGACAGCCCTATACCACCAATGTGCCATCTTAAATAGTTGGGTGACGCTAGCCACAATAGTCAGGGCCTCTAACCTTGAAGACAGTAACTGTCTTCCTCGTGTATAGATTATTGTATGAATTAAAGTAAGTCTGGGATGTGTTTAGTATTGGTGGTGGAGGTGGGTGGTATTTTGCATATAAATTGACAGTGATGAGATGAACTGACAGGAAAAATGTGAAGGGAAGGGTGCTGGGAGAGGTAGAGTGAGAGGTGGGAATGGAGGGAGTGGGAGAGGCGGATAGGGAGGGAGGGGAGAGGCGGATAGGGAGGGAGGGGAGAGGCGGATAGGGAGGGAGTGGGAGAGACAGGAAGGGATCTGGAGGGAAGGAGAAGGGAGCAATATTGTTTGTGATCTTAATTTACTTCCTTGTTGCTGGAGAAGTGGGATGGGTTGAGGCAGGGAGTGGGCTGGGACGTGGGTTGACTTAGAGGCAGGCAGGAAGTGGGCTGGGATGTGGGTTGACTTAGAGGCAGGCAGGAAGTGGGCTGGGACGTGGGTTGACTTAGAGTCAGCTAGGGAGTTGGCTGGGACGTGGGTTGACTTAGAGGCAGCCAGGAAGTGGGCTGGGACGTGGGTTGGCTTAGAGGCAGCTAGGGAGTGGGCTGGGACGTGGGTTGGCTTAGAGGCAGCTAGGGGAGTGGGCTGGGACGTGGGTTGACTTAGAGGCAGCTAGGGAGTGGGCTGGGACGTGGGTTGACTTAGAGGCAGCTAGGGAGTGGGCTGGGACGTGGGTTGACTTAGAGGCAGCTAGGGAGTGGGCTGGGACGTGGGTTGACTTAGAGGCAGCTAAGGAGTGGGCTGGGACGTGGGTTGACTTAGAGGCAGCTAGGTAGTGGGCTGGGACGTGGGTTGACTTAGAGGCAGCTAAGGAGTGGGCTGGGACGTGGGTTGACTTAGAGGCAGCTAGGGAGTGGGCTGGGACGTGGGTTGACTTAGAGGCAGCTAGGAAGTGGGCTGGGACGTGGGTTGACTTAGAGGCAGCTAAGGAGTGGGCTGGGACGTGGGTTGACTTAGAGGCAGCTAGGAAGTGGGCTGGGACGTGGGTTGACTTAGAGGCAGCTAGGGAAGTGGGCTGGGACGTGGGTTGACTTAGAGGCAGCTAAGGAGTGGGCTGGGACGTGGGTTGACTTAGAGGCAGCTAGGAAGTGGGCTGGGACGTGGGTTGACTTAGAGGCAGCTAAGGAGTGGGCTGGGACGTGGGTTGACTTAGAGGCAGCTAAGGAGTGGGCTGGGACGTGGGTTGACTTAGAGGCAGCTAAGGAGTGGGCTGGGACGTGGGTTGACTTAGAGGCAGCTAAGGAGTGGGCTGGGACGTGGGTTGACTTAGAGGCAGCTAAGGAGTGGGCTGGGACGTGGGTTGACTTAGAGGCAGCTAAGGAGTGGGCTGGGACGTGGGTTGACTTAGAGGCAGCTAAGGAGTGGGCTGGGACGTGGGTTGACTTAGAGGCAGCTAAGGAGTGGGCTGGGACGTGGGTTGACTTAGAGGCAGCTAAGGAGTGGGCTGGGACGTGGGTTGACTTAGAGGCAGCTAGGGAGTGGGCTGGGACGTGGGTTGACTTAGAGGCAGCTAAGGAGTGGGCTGGGACGTGGGTTGACTTAGAGGCAGCTAAGGAGTGGGCTGGGACGTGGGTTGACTTAGAGGCAGCTAAGGAGTGGGCTGGGACGTGGGTTGACTTAGAGGCAGCTAGGGAGTGGGCTGGGACGTAAGTTAAGGTGATGAGATATGTCTACATAAATCCTAGCTCAGTTTATTGTCAGTGTTCGATAGATTTTGATCACAATACAACACACATGCACCAGGTGAGTACACGGTGAGTACACGGTGAGTACACGGTGAGTACAGTAGGTGCTACTACACGGGTACTGTCCTTATATGTAACGGGTAAAGTTAAGATCCTGTCACTTCCTATGAGGCCGTGTGAACAACAGCATGAGGGACTTCTCAGTGTACTTCATGTGGTGGCTAAGCCGGCCTGGTCGTCCCGTAGCCAGCCGGCCTGGTCGTCCCGTAGCCAGCCGGCCTGGTCGTCCCGTAGCCAGCCGGCCTGGTCGTCCCGTAGCCAGCCGGCCTGGTCGTCCCGTAGCCAGCCGGCCTGGTCGTCCCGTAGCCAGCCGGCCAGGTCGTCCCGTAGCCAGCCGGCCTGGTCGTCCCGTAGCCAGCCGGCCTGGTCGTCCCGTAGCCAGCCGGCCAGGTCGTCCCGTAGCCAGCCGGCCAGGTCGTCCTGTAGCCAGCCGGCCTGGTCGTCCCGTAGCCAGCCGGCCTGGTCGTCCCGTAGCCAGCCGGCCTGGTCGTCCCGTAGCCAGCCGGCCTGGTCGTCCCGTCTGGTGTAGCGGAGTTTATCTCATTGTAATTTCCTGCTGCCCGCCTCGTCCCTAGCACTCTATGCCGCAGAAAGTCTAGGATATGGCCAGGGGACCCTGCAGCTATCCTGGAGGTGGGGTGGTGATGCCTCTCTCACTCCTGGAGGTGGGGTGGTGATGCCTCTCTCACTCCTGGAGGTGGGGTGGTGATGCCTCTCTCACTCCTGGAGGTGGGGTGGTGATGCCTCTCTCACTCCTGGAGGTGGGGTGGTGATGCCTCTCTCACTCCTGGAGGTGGGGTGGTGATGCCTCTCTCACTCCTGGAGGTGGGGTGGTGCTGCCTCTCTCACTCCTGGTGGTGGGGTGGTGATGCCTCTCTCACTCCTGGAGGTGGGGTGGTGATGCCTCTCTCACTCCTGGAGGTGGGGTGGTGCTGCCTCTCTCACTCCTGGTGGTGGGGTGGTGATGCCTCTCTCACTCCTGGAGGTGGGGTGGTGATGCCTCTCTCACACCTGGAGGTGGGGTGGTGATGCCTCTCTCACTCCTGGTGGTGAGGTGATGAATGCCTCTCTCACTCCTGGTGGTGGGGTGGTGATGCCTCTCTCACTCCTGGAGGTGGGGTGGTGATGCCTCTCTCACTCCTGGTGGTGGGGTGGTGATGCCTCTCTCACTCCTGGTGGTGGGGTGGTGATGCCTCTCTCACTCCTGGTGGTGGGGTGGTGATGCCTCTCTCACTCCTGGTGGTGGGGTGGTGATGCCTCTCTCACTCCTGGTGGTGGGGTAGTGATGCCTCTCTCACTCCTGGTGGTGGGGTGGTGATGCCTCTCTCACTCCTGGAGGTGAGGTGATGAATGCCTCTCTCACTCCTGGTGGTGAGGTGATGAATGCCTCTCTCACTCCTGGAGGTGGGGGTGGTGATGCCTCTCTCACTCCTGGAGGTGGGGTGGTGATGCCTCTCTCACTCCTGGAGGTGGGGTGGTGATGCCTCTCTCACTCCTGGAGGTGGGGTGGTGATGCCTCTCTCACTCCTGGAGGTGGGGTGGTGATGCCTCTCTCACTCCTGGAGGTGGGGTAGTGATGCCTCTCTCACTCCTGGTGGTGGGGTGGTGATGCCTCTCTCACTCCTGGAGGTGGGGTGGTGATGCCTCTCTCACTCCTGGAGGTGGGGTGGTGATGCCTCTCTCACTCCTGGAGGTGGGGTAGTGATGCCTCTCTCACTCCTGGTGGTGGGGTGGTGATGCCTCTCTCACTCCTGGAGGTGGGGTAGTGATGCCTCTCTCACTCCTGGTGGTGGGGTGGTGATGCCTCTCTCACTCCTGGAGGTGGGGTGGTGATGAATGCCTCTCTCGTGAGTAATTAGGGTCCTGGAGGGAGCCATTATGTACGGCGCCGGCTGCGATAACCATCTGTCGATGCAATATCGCAGGGTAATTAATGCTTCAAGTGGATAGTTATTGACGGAAACGCTCAGGTTCACGGCCTACCACAGGTCTCATTCACGGCCTACCACAGGTCTCATTCTCTGCCTACCACAGGTCTCATTCACGGCCTACCACAAGTATCATTCACGGCCTACCACAGGTATCATTCACGGCCTACCACAGGTCTCATTCACGGCCTACCACAGGCCTCATTCACGGCCTACCACAGGCCTCATTCACGGCCTACCACAGGTCTCATTCACGGCCTACCACAGGTCTCATTCACGGCCTACCACAGGTCTCATTCACGGCCTACCACAGGTCTCATTCACGGCCTACCACAGGTCTCATTCACGGCCTACCACAGGTCTCATTCACGGCCTACCACAGGTCTCATTCACGGCCTACCACAGGCCTCATTCACGGCCTACCACAGGCCTCATTCACGGCCTACCACAGGTCTCATTCACGGCCTACCACAGGTCTCATTCTCTGCCTACCACAGGTCTCATTCACGGCCTACCACAAGTATCATTCACGGCCTACCACAGGTCTCATTCTCTGCCTACCACAGGGCCTCATTCTCCGCCAACCACAGGCCTCATTCTCCGCCTACCACAGGGCCTCATTCTCCGCCTACCACAGGCCTCATTCACGGCCTACCACAGGTCTCATTCACGGCCTACCACAGGTCTCATTCTCTGCCTACCACAGGCCTCATTCTCCGCCTACCACAGGGCCTCATTCTCCGCCAACCACAGGCCTCATTCTCCGCCTACCACAGGCCTCATTCTCCGCCTCACTGCCGAGTAATCAACATTTTCCTGAACGTATCTAGCGTCATATTTGATCCTTCAGACTCGAGCCTCCTGCAGCCCGCATGGAAACGAGATTGTTCTCTCTTTCATCAGTCTCAGGGGTAGTTTCTGGTAATACACAGCTCTTCGTGACCTGAGGGGTCTGACGGCTGAGTGAATAGCGTTCGGGATTCGTAGTTCTGAGGTTCCGGGTTCGATCCCCGGCGGAGCCGGAAACAAATGGGCAGTGTTTCTTTCACCCTGATGATATCCTGTTCACCTAGCAGTAAATAGGTACCTGGGAGTTAGACAGCTGCTACGGGCTGCTTCCTGGGGGTTGTGTAGCAAAAAGGAGGCCTGGTCGAGGACCGGGCCGCTGGGACCATCTTCCCGAAATCATCTCGAGATTACCTCAAGATTGTGCATTATAAACCATGGGCCAGATTCACGAAGTAGTTACGCAAGCACTTACGAACCTGTACATCTTTCCTCAATCTGTGGCGGCTTTGTTTACAATTATTAAACAGTTAATGAGCTCCGAAGCACCAGGAGGCTGTTTATAACAATAACAACAGTTGATTGGCAAGTTTTCATGCTTGTAAACTGTTTAATAAATGTAACCAAAGCCGTCAAAGATTGAGGAAAGATGTACACGTTCGTAAGTACTTGCGTAACTGCCTCGTGAATCCGGATCCATTCCTCCATGCCCTCACACTTAAGGCACTGCTATATTTACGTGTTATGGGATTATTTAACAATGACTTAAATAGGTAATGTGAGTTCGGATGATTAATGTGAGTTCGGATGCTCTTGGGATAAGCGAGGTCACTTCACATCCTGATACTTGTCGTACATCGTGCAGACTGTGTAAGATGACCTGACCTTGAGGTTACCTTGAGATGATTTCGGAGCTTAGCGTCCCCGCGGCCCGGTCCTCGAACAGGCCCCCAGGGCACTGGGATATGAGACGCCAGTCGCTCTCTGATGGATTAAGTTCATGTTGAAATCAATAAAAATCTTAAGCTGTATAAGGTTATAATTAATTTAGAAGCATTTTCATATAGTGGTGTGCAGACCAGGAGTCACAATAACGCGGCTGAAATATGTTGACCAAACCACACACTAGAAAGTGAATGGACGACGACGTTTCGGTCCGTCCTGGACCACATTAAGTCGATTGTGAATGGTCCAGGACGAACCGAAACGTCGTCATCCCTTCACCTTCTAGTGTGTGATCTGGTCCACATATACTTGGTGTGTTAAGACGGTATTAACTTGAGCTTCTCTGCAGGATAGCGTCGAGAGGAAGCAGATGCTGAGGAATGTGTCGCAGAAGGAGCAGATGCTGAACATTGTGTCGCAGATCACCACCGGCAGCCTGGGCACCACCTGCGTCTCTGACCCCTTCCACAGGTGGGTCCTGTCTCCTGGGACTCTGCTCCTACTGTAACTAGTAGGCATCCTGCAGTCTTGGGAGACTATGGGAGTGGCTCTCTGGTTGTCGAGGCTGGAGTGTATGCTCCAGGGCGCCAAGCCAGGGTAGGTTGATATGGGGGAGAAGCTGTTACCCATGCAGCAGGTCCTCCCCTCCCCTCTCCAGGGCGCCAAGCCAGGGTAGGTTGATATGGGGGAGAAGCTGTTACCCATGCAGCAGGTCCTCCCCTCCCCTCTCCAGGGCGCAAAGCCAGGGTAGGTTGATATGGGGGAGAAGCTGTTACCCATGCAGCAGGTCCTCCCCTCCCCTCTCCAGGGCGCCAAGCCAGGGTAGGTTGATATGGGGGAGAAGCTGTTACCCATGCAGCAGGTCCTCCCCTCCCCTCTCCAGGGCGCCAAGCCAGGGTAGGTTGATACGGGGGAGAAGCTGTTACCCATGCAGCAGGTCCTCCCCTCCCCTCTTCAAGGCGCAAAGCCAGGGTAGGTCGGTATGGAGGAGAAGCTGTAATGACCCAAATGTAGTTACAGGATGAGAGCTACGCTCGTGGTGTCCCGTCTTCCCAGCACTCTTTGTCGTATAATGCTTTGAAACTACTGACGGTTTTGGCCTCCACCACCTTCTCACCTAACTTGTTCCAACCGTCTACCACTCTGTTTACTACAACACTATGTGTGTGTGTGTGTGTGTGTGTGTGTGTGTGTGTGTGTGTGTGTGTGTGTGTGTGTGTGTGTGTGTGTGTGTGTGTGTGTGTGTGTGTGTGTGTGTGTGTGTGTGTGTGTGTGTGTGTGTGTGTGTGTGTGTGTGTGTGTGTGTGTGTGTGTGTGTGTGTGTGTGTGTGTGTGTGTGTGTGTGTGTGTGTGTGTGTGTGTCTGTGTGTGTGTGTGTGTGTGTGTGTGTGTGTGTGTGTGTGTGTGTGTGTGTGTGTGTGTGTGTGTGTGTGTGTCTCGTCTCCTTTCCAGGCCAAGAAGAAAAATCATGGTCAATTTTTCCAACAAATCCGTCTGTGTTTCAGAGTATATTCCCATATATTGCTATGTACTTCCTCCATTAACCAGAGTAACGTTGATGTTTACTTCACCCACAAAAACGTAGGTGAAGTAGCCTGACCCCTCACGTGAGGTGATGGTGTTCAGGACGTGTTCTAAACACCATCACGTGATGACCTGTGTGTGGGGGGGAGGGGGCGGGAGCTGGGATGATTGTGCATCAAGTTAAGGGTGATGAAACGCGCCTGTTGTATCCTGCCTGGTTAATAACATTACCCGCGGTTTGTAACCGGGATATTAATCCAACTATTTACTGGATATCCGGCACTGCTGCTGCTTCCTGTTATTGTTAGTTAGCAGTTACGAGTGGTTAAACTAGAGATCTAACACCAGAGAAACAGGATGAACAACCCAGCGGGTTTTCTTCCTATTGGGGAGTGTTGTACACGCTGCTATGGCGGTGTGTCCACTCACAGGATGAGTGACGCTGCCCAATACTGTCACTATGGCGGTGTGTCCACTCACAGGATGAGTGGCGCTGCCCAATACTGTCACTATGGCGGTGTGTCCACTCACAGGATGAGTGGCGCTGCCCAATACTGTCACTATGGCGGTGTGTCCACTCACAGGATGAGTGGCGCTGCCCAATACTGTCACTATGGCGGTGTGTCCACTCACAGGATGAGTGGCGCTGCCCAATAAATTCGCCCCTCGGGGCAAAATGAAAATTAAATTACCAGAGTAGCATATGTGCTACTGGCCAAGCGTCCAGTTTTTCAGGAACTTGGAAAAAGCTCTCTTACAAGCGCTGTATACACCCTTTGTGAGACCTGTTATTGAGAATGCTGTCCCGGCCTGGAACCCCAACCTAAAGAAAAAAAGAAACTACAAAATGTCCAAAAATATGCACCAAGGCTCTTTCCGGAGCTGAAAGGACTGAGCTACTAAGAGAAATGGATTTCATTATATCGGACAAAAGAAAGCATGATGGAGCGGACATGATAACGACGTAGAAGGTACTATAGGGGATTGACAAAGTAGTTATAAAAGCAAAGTTGGAATTAAGGAACAGTAGAAGTCATAAGTGGAAATGGTCAATACTGATGAGTTACAGAGATATGAGCAAAAACCTCCACAATCTAAGAGGCTTTTATGAGTCAATCGGATTAGATGATCAAGTTGTCGAAGCCAATTCGATACAGTTTTAAACTAAAAATAATAAAAACCGAGAGTGAAAACGCACAACATTTAATTACTGATGGTCAAAAAGCGGGGCTCGATCCTGCAAGTTGAACTGGGTGGATACGACAACCTCCACACACCAACCCCATCACCCTGTGAGAGGGGGGGGGGCCTCGCCCCCTCTTCCTCAGCCTCTCTCATTCAGCTTCTCCCCCTCACAGATGAGAGCGGATGTCTCTCACTTCCCCGCCTCACTCAGTCTCCTCTACATTGGCTGTACGGACGAGGAGGAGGAGGAGGGAGTGAAGAGGGGAAGAGGGGAAGAGGAAGGGGGAGTGAGGGGAGAGGAATGACGACACGGAGGGAACTACAATGACAATGGAAGGGAAGCTGATACAGGGATTATGAAAATGATATGACGATTTTGGTGCTGCTGGAATTGTCCTGGTGTTGATGTGGTGGTGCTAGTGGTGGTAGTGGTGGTGTTGGTGTTGGTGTGGTGGTAGTGGTGGTGTTGGTGTTGGTGTGGTGGTAGTGGTGGTGTTGGTGTTGGTGTGGTGGTAGTGGTGGTGTTGGTGTGGTGGTGGTGTTGGTGTGGTGGTGGTGTTGGTGTGGTGGTGTTGGTGTGGTGGTGGTGTGGTGGTGGTGTTGGTGTGGTGGTGTTGGTACGATTGGTGGTGGTGCTGATATAGTGATAGGGTGTTGAGAGAGAGAGAGAGAGAGAGAGAGAGAGAGAGAGAGAGAGAGAGAGAGAGAGAGAGAGAGAGAGAGAGAGACGATAGGAGAGGGGGAGAGGGAAGGCTGTGGCGGGGCGTGTCCAAATCTCCATAATAATTGAACATGGACTTCTAATTGTCTATACTCGTGTGTATACTCGTGTGTATTCGCCTAAATATACTCACTTAGATATACTCACCTAGATATACTCACCTAGGTATACTCAGCTAAATGTGCTTGCAGTCTCCAGCTAGGCTCATATAGCCCCGTCTTCTGAACTTAGAATAATGCAATGGCTCTCCAAAATGTGCTTCCGTAATGTGACGCAAAATGTGACGCAAAATGTGACGCAATATGCGTCCCCAAAAGCTGGTTAGTTATTGAGTTAGACGCAACGACATCTGCGTCCACCATCTTCCACTTATTGACAAAGTTGTTTTCTGACATTTCTGTGACAATCGACTTGAGAATTTTCCAGGACGGACCGAAACGTCGTCGTCGTCCCTTCACCTTCTAGTGTGTGGTCTGGTCAACATACTTCAGCCACGTTATTGTGACTCGTCGCCTGCATTTCTGTGACCCCTTTAGTGTGTCTAGTGTTCATCTATGTCCCCCTGTTCTGCCTGTTCTTACCTTTGAACAATCTTGCTTTGTTTACCTAGACAATTTCCCTTAAAATCTTCGTTATCATGATGTTATCATGCCCTCCCTACCTTTCCTCCCTTGTGGTAAAGGGAAATTCTCTCGGTCTTTCCTCATAGCTAAAGCCCTTCAACTCGGGAACCAGTCTCGATGCATATCTCTGGAGCTTTTTGCTAGTTTTTCCCTTGTCTTGTTTCAGGTGGAGGTTCCGTACTGAGAACGCATATTCAGGAGTGGGTGTGTGGGTGTATGTGAGTCCCTGTGTGTGTGTGTGTGTGTGTGTGTGTGTGTGTGTGTGTGTGTGTGTGCATTTAGGCAGTCGTCCGGTGTATGGAGAGGTCCCCCACTGATCACTCTTGTCACCCATAGAGGTGCTCCACTGACCACTCTTGTCACCCACAGGTTCGTGTTGGCGTCGCTGGAGGTGAAACGCTACGACTCTGCTCGCCAGAAGGCCGACCTCCTGGTACGGGTGCTAAGGAACCTGGAAGTTCGCAGTGAAGGTAAAGTAGCGTCTGGGTCCTCTTCTGGGCTATTATGCGTCACACAGGGCTCAAGGCGGGCTATTATGCGTCACACAGGGCTCTCGGTGGGCTATTATGCGTCACACAGGGCTCAAGGCGGGCTATTATGCGTCACACAGGGCTCAAGGCGGGCTATTATGCGTCACACAGGGCTCACAGGCGGACTCTTACGCGTCACACATAATTATCGTTACAGACATTCACCTTTTTATGTGTGGATATGAAGTCAGATGTCAGAGAGAACTTTGCCCGTTCACCGCTGGAGGTGTGAGCGTGTAGGCGGTGCATGAGGCAATGATTGATCCGTGCTCAATATAGAGTGGTTAATGTTAAATGTAAACAAAGCAGGAATGATTGCATTAAACCTCACAATGCTAGCAAAAGTTAGCCTTTGTTGCTTATACTTGATCCTGGAAGCTCATCAAGGCGATTGTACACACACACACACACACACACACACACACACACACACACACACACACACACACACACACACACACACACACACACACACACACACACACGTACGTTGAATGCTTTATAAAAAAAAGTTAAATATATCTCTCTACATAAACATTTTTTTTATCTTTTCTCCTGTGTTTTAATCTCTCGTGTTCTCATGAAGTCTTATTTAGTTCATTTCTTTTATCTTTACTCTCACTTTTCACTCAATTATTTCCTTACTTTAGGACATTCCTCCTTGCGGTGTCCACCTTTGCTGCCTTCACTTGAGTGAACGCCTGCTGCCTTCACTCACACACACACCCGAGGACCCACAAACACACCGGAAGACCCACAAACACCCCGGAAGACCCACAAACACACCGGAAAATCCCACAAACACACCGGAAGACTCCACAAACACCCCGGAAGACCCCACAAACACCCCGGAAGACCCACAAACACACCGGAAAATCCCACAAACACACCGGAAGACTCCACAAACACACCGGAAGACCCCACAAACACCCCGGAAGACCCACAAACACACCGGAAAATCCCACAAACACACCGGAAGACTCCACAAACACCCCGGAAGACCCCACAAACACACCGGAAGACCCCACAAACACACCGGAAGACCCCACAAACACCCCGGAAGACCCACAAACACACCGGAAAATCCCACAAACACACCGGAAGACCCCACAAACACACCGGAAGACCCCACAAACACACCGGAAGACCCCACAAACACACCGGAAGACCCCACAAACACACCGGAAGACTCCACAAATACACCGGAAGACCCCACAAACACACCTAAAGCCCCACAAAAACACTTAAAGACCCACAAACACACCCAAGGCCCCACAAAAACACCCAAGACCCCACAAACACACCCAAGACCCCACAAACACACCGGAAGACTTACCTAAACACCTGTCTCCCTGACAGAGCTGCTGAAGGCAATGGTGCTTAACTTGCTGGCGTCTGACGAGGTAATCACCGCCGCCCGGGTGGTGCTGAGGAACGACACCCAACCCTTCGTCGTCTCCACCCACCGCCCACCCTCACATTACCCGCCCACTGAACCCAACCCTCCCGTCAATGCCTCCGGAACCAAGGTGGGTACGACTACGAAGGTTCTGCCCCTGTGTTCCAGTCTAGGTAGATGTATTTATATGCATTATATGTGTTATGTAGCCTCGTATACTCATTATTTCCGGTCCTGAAATTGCTTGTGGGTGAGTGCGTCCACTCACAAGCACCTGACATCCTCTCACAGCTGGGCCGCCTCGGCCTTCCCTCCCCGAAAATGCTCTTTCTCTCCACCTTGTCAGTCGTTGGCAGTTGAATGCCACATCGGAAAGGAATACTAAGTTTGTTCTTGTGTGCAGCTGTCGGCCGTGACGAACCAGCCTTGGTACGACGACTCGGGGAACACCAGCAAGTTCCAGAACCACAGCATCGTCGGGAAGCTGGGCTGGTGGACCTATCCTTACTTCCATTGCAGGAGTAAGCGGTGGCTACTGAGCTACACCGTACCCATCACGTCTTCCAGCATGGCCTCCAGCGACAGGCCAGCAGGCATCAGGTTAGTCGCGGCGCCTGTTGCGCCTACAAGCCTGTGAGTCGCGCCTCTCAGGTGAGTCGCGACTCACAAGCTAGTCCAACATGGGACTTCAGTTTCCAGCTCAATCACAATTATCTGTATAAACTTCAAGCTGTCTACTCCGGGGCAGTGGGACACACGTTCAACTATAGGAATGAACTTCGCTGTTCATTGAATATAATTTGGTGTTAAGTAATTGTTATGAAGTGAATTTAAACCTCATTATGAAAATCAGGATTGTATGTTATGAGATTCGTATTTGTAAATGGACAGTACAATCTGCCGACCTATCCTCCATAACAAATAGTATCTGTAGTGATTGTGCTGACGTACAATATATGGAGAGAGGAGGACCTGCTGCATGGGTAACAGCTTCTCCTCCATATCAACCTACCCTGACTTTGCGTCCTGGAGAGGCCACTCCAGACCGACAACCAGAGAGCCACTCCCATAGTCTCCTGAGACTGATGGATGCCTTCTACTACTACAATATATGGAATGTTGCATTCGAAGCAATTCACGTTGTGTACTACTCGAATGCTTGAAATTTCTTGGTTATCGCCAGCTCTGTAAGTCTGACTCTGTAGTCCATAGAGCCTGGAATCCTGTGTGGGGTTTTTAGCAAGGTTTCCTCGTAGGCTTCCTACGGGAACTTCCCAGGATGTAACAGTTATCTAACTCCTGTGTACCTATTTACCGCCAGGTGAACAGAGTCATCAGGTGTAAAGAACGTTCCTTGATGACTCGAAGAGACGAACCCTAGACCAATCGGTTGTGAGCCGCCTACTCTGTCTTCCTCTCCCTTTCCTTCTTACTCTATCCTCTTTTTCTCTTCCTTTCTGTCGCCCCTTCCCTTCCTATCTCCTTAAAGGTGCCTTCCTCAAGGTCACCTCAAGGGTGACCTAACCAGGTCCCATGGAGTAGAGTCACGACTCTGCAGGTCAAGCGATCAATCTTTTAACAGTGCACTTTTAGGTCTTAATCAATTAAAATGTATACCTATTTACTGCTAGGTAACAGGGGCATTCAGGGTGAAAGAAACTTTGCCCATTTGTTTCTGCCTCGTGCGGGAATCGAACCCGCGCCACAGAATTACGAGTCCTGCGCGCTATCCACCAGGCTACGAGGCCCCCTTGATTGATTTGTGATGTTCCTTGAGGCAATCTCTCTCCCTCTCTCCCTTTGATGTGTTTTGTTTGGTCTACCCTGCGAGAGACAGTTGGGCTCGTTTTCTGAGGAATTGCTTCTATTGTACGAGTTGGTTATACCCACTGACGAGTATTCTCAGGGGCGCTGGGCGCATCTTAGGAGTTGGTTATGTCTTTTGAGTAATAGTCTTCGGGTAGTAGTGTGTGTTTGTCAGTTAAACCCCCCAACCAGTACTGTTTATGTCTGCAAATTACCACCCGTCCTTAGTCTATCCAATCCAGATATACATTAATATTATATATTTGCATATTGTTCACATTTAGATGGAGGTTAGGTTAGGTGTTTAGGTTTCGTTGGTAATTATTTGTATATGAAGTACGCGGATGAAGCATTTATAGAATTGTGGTTCGAACAGAGGACGTGAGCGATGTACTTGTTCCGGAAGTGTTCGGACGTCATTAGTTGAGTCGTGTGTAAACCGTTTTTCATTTATAAACAGGGGGTTTGGCGGCTGGATTAACGAGCTTGGATCTTTGTATGCGAGGACGCAGTCCATCCTCATAAACAAAGACTCAAAATCCATTCCATAAACAGGCCAAACCCACTGTTTATGAATGAAAAAACGGTTTACACACGACTCATAACTGTTGACGTTCGAACACTTTCGGAACAAGTGCTTCACTGACGACTTTCGTCCAAACCACAACGCTGTAAATGCTTCACCCACGTACTACAAATACGAATAATCGCCAACAGACCCTATCTTGAGGTTATCTTGATAAGATGATTTGGCGGCTTTGGCGGCTTTTTTTTACAATTATTAAACAGTTAATGAGCTCCGAAGCATCAGGAGGCTGGTTATAACAATAACGACAGTTGATTGGCAAGTTTTCATGCTTGTAAACTGTTTGACGGCTTTGGTTACATTTATTAAACGGTTTACAAGCATGAAAACTTGCCAATCAACTGTTGTTATTGTTACAAACAGCCTCCTGATGCTTCGGAGCTCACTAACTGTGTAATAATTGTAAAAAAAAAAGCCGCCAAAGATTGAGGAAAGATGTACACGTTCGTAAGTGCTCGCGTAAGTGCTTCGTGAATCTGGCCCCAGATCATCCAATTCAGCGACGTCTCCCCGGGCCACAGTGATGCACTGTCTAACGGTCCTCACTCTGTCTCCGACAACTTCTGGGGATACAGAAACAAACCATCTGTCTTTTTTCCAAATTTATAGCTCAATTTGGCTTTTGCTCGAGGTGGCGAGGAAGAAGCTGTATCTTCTCGGCGGTTGCGGTGAGAATCGAAGATGTATTTCTTGTCTTTCAAGACGAGGAGAAAACCAACAGCCCAGAATCCAGGGTTCTAGGAATCTTTCTCATTCGGGTGGTAACAAGTCGCTAAGGCTTCCTGTCTGTCTGTTACACTCGTGGGACTTCCTACTGGGTAAGACCAGCACAGTCTCCGTGGTGTAGTGGTAAGACACTCGCCTGGCGTTCCGCGAGCGCTTTGTCATGGGTTCGTATCCTGGCCGGGGAGGATTTACTGGGCGCAATTCCTTAACTGTAGCCTCTGTTTAACGCAACAGTAAAATGTGTACTTGGATGAAAAAACGATTCTTCGCGGCGGGGATCATATTCCAGGGACCATAGGATTAAGGACTTGCCCGAAACGCTACGCGTACTAGTGGCTGTACAAGAATGTAACAACTCTTGTATATATCTCAAAAAAAAGAAGATATTATTGCCTCTCTTCAGTGATGGAAACCAGAGCAATTGAACGGTAACGACGCAGCAGTTACGAATTCTCTGTCAGAGTTCATTTCCATAAATTGCGCTCCCTTCCCCCCAGACACCTACAGCCCGCTGGCCCGAGAAATAAATTCGACCTTGGATGTGACAACTTAAGACACGCTTTCTCCCCTTAACTGGCAGTGACGTGGGTTTGGTGAGTCTGGACGTCGATGTGACCTCGCTTGACATCAACCAGTGCGACCCTGAGACCAGCAGCAGCCAGCAGCAGACGTCGCAGCGTGACACCCAGTTCGTCTTCTTCCTCGGCACTCATAAGTGTCACAGGAACTCGTCAGAGGTGAGTGCTCCAGCTGCTGCTCTGCTGGGCAGACTGACTTCCATTCTGGGCTGGGTCTATGAGGCTCACATTCTAGGCTGGGTCTATATGGCTGCCATTCTGGGTTGGGGTCTATGAGGCTCCCATTCTGGGCTGGGTCTATGTGGCTCCCATTCTGGGCTGGGTCTATGTGGCTCCCATTCTGGGCTGGGTCTATGTGGCTCCCATTCTGGGCTGGGTCTATGAGGCTTCCATTCTGGGCTGGGTCTATGAGGCTTCCATTCTGGGCTAGATCTATGAGGCTTCCATTCTGGTCTGGGTCTATGTGACTTCCATTCTGGTCTGGGTCTATATGCCTCCCATTCTGGTCTGAGGTCTACGAGGCTACCATTCTGGGCTGGGTCTATGTGCCTCCCATTCTGGGCTGGGTCCATATGAGACTTGTCTAATGGGGAGCCAGTAGACAAGCGGTGTACCTATGCATCTGCCAAAGTACATGACCGCTCACACGAGTACACTACAGCACAGTACAGAGGGAGAGTGCACACGTGGGAGGCAGTGAGACCACCTGTAGTCAGACTCGCTGCCTCGCCTGCAATATTGATTTAGAGAGTAGTGGGTGGAGCTGGGGAGGGGAGAGGAGTCCGTGTCCTTGGTGTGATGGGGGAGCCATGGGGGTCCCCTGGTGTGGTGGAGGAGCCATGGTGGTCCCCTGGGGTGGTGGAGGAGCCATGGAGCTCCCCTGGTGTGGTGGGGGAGCCATGGTGGTTCCCTGGTGTGGTGGGGGAGCCATGGAGCTCCCCTGGTGTGGTGGGGGAGCCATGAGGGTCCCCTGGTGTGGTGGGGGAGCCATGAGGGTCCCCTGGTGTGGTGGGGGAGCCATGGAGGTCCCCTGGTGTGGTGGGGGGAGCCATGGAGGTCCCCTGGTGTGGTGGGGGAGCCATGGAGGTCCCCTGGTGTGGTGGGGGAGCCATGGCGGTCCCCTGGTGTGGTGGGGGAGCCATGGCGGTCCCCTGGTGTGATGAGGGAGCCATGGAGGTCCCCTGGTGTGGTGGGGGAGTCGTGGAGGTCCCCTGGTGTGATGGGGGAGCCATGGAGCTCCCCTGGTGTGGTGGAGCAGCCATGGAGCTCCCCTGGTGTGGTGGGGGAGCCATGGAGGTCCCCTGGTGTGATGGAGGAGCCATGGAGGTCCCCTGGTGTGATGGAGGAGCCATGGTGGTCCCCTGGTGTGATAGGCGAGCCATGAAGGTCCCCTGGTGTGGTGGGGGAGCCATGGAGCGCCCCTGGTGTGATAGAGGAGCCATGGAGTGGTGGAGGAGCCATGGAGGTCCCCTGGTGTGATGGGGAAGCCATGGAGCGCCCCTGGTGTGGTGGGGGAGCCATGGAGGTCCCCTGGTGTGGCGGAGGAGCCATGGAGGTCCCCTGGTGTGATGGGGGAGCCATGAGGGTCCCCTGGTGTGGTGGGCGAGCCATGGAGGTCCCCTGGTGTGGTGGAGGAGCCATGGAGGTCCCCTGGTGTGATGGGGGAGCCATGAGGGTCCTCTGGTGTGGTGGGCGAGCCATGGAGGTCCCCTGGTGTGGTGGAGGAGCCATGGAGGTCCCCTGGTGTGATGGAGCAGCCATAGAGCTCCCCTGGTGTGGTGGAGCAGCCATAGAGCTCCCCTGGTGTGGTGGAGCAGCCATAGAGCTCCCCTGGTGTGGTGGAGCAGCCATAGAGCTCCTCTGGTGTGGTGGAGCAGCCATAGAGCTCCCCTGGTGTGGTGGAGCAGCCATAGAGCTCCCCTGGTGTGATGGAGCAGCCATAGAGCTCCCCTGGTGTGGTATCATCACCTGCCTTCTCTGCTCGACTGGCTCACTGGGTAATTAAAGAGCACGTGTAATAATTGTCAGACGCTCGCCGGCCGCAGTTCGTAATTACTTTGTTGAAACTGAAAATTTGTAATTATGAAATATTCATTTTTATATATTCGAAAATATATATATATATATATGAGAAGAGATAGAAGAGGGAGAAGGGAGAGGGAGAGAGAGAGAGAAAGAAATAGTTCATCAATTTAACACACTCTTTTTCTCTCTCTTTCTCGATCTCTAACTCTGTTTAATTCCCTTCTTATGTTTTTTAAACATTTACAAAGACGCCAGGTCAAGCTGGAGTCCTGTGTTTACCAACACAGCTGTATACAGCCGCTCCTCCACGGCTCTTCAAGTACTTGAGACAATGTCCCCAAAATGCGAGTCTTCTGAAGATGGTGAACTCTGCAAAAGTCCTCTTCTGTTTGTTCTGGCTAAGTGGCCCTTGAGAGCAATTTGTCTTCTTAGTGACCCTGAGTAGGTCATCTCCTTAGTGCTCAAGACAGTGCTTGGAGGCCTACCCGAAATTGGCTGCTGCTGGGAATGGTCTTTGCCTGGATCTCTGCTTTCTCCGGTTGTTGGGGAGATGGGGGGGTCACCCAGGAGATTGCTGTGGGGTACAGGCAGGCCAGGAGATCAGTGTACAGGTACAGGCAGGCCAGGAGATCAGTGTGGAGGTACAGGCAGGCCAGGAGATCAGTATGGCGGTACAGGCAGGCCAGGAGATCAGTATGGAGGTACAGGCAGGCCAGGAGATCAGTGTGGAGGTACAGGCAGGCCAGGAGATCAGTGTGGGGGGTACAGGCAAGCCAGGAGATCAGTATGGAGGTACAGGCAGGCCAGGAGATCAGTGTGGGGGTACAGGCAGGCCAGGAGATCAGTATGGGGGTACAGGCAGGCCAGGAGATCAGTGTGGGGGTACAGGCAGGCCAGGAGATCAGTGTGGAGGTACAGGCAGGCCAGGAGATCAGTGTAGGGGTACAGGCAGGCCAGGAGATCAGTGTGGAGGTACAGGCAGGCCAGGAGATCAGTATGGGGGTACAGGCAGGCCAGGAGATCAGTGTGGAGGTACAGACAGTCCAGGAGATCAGTGTAGGGGTACAGGCAGGCCAGGAGATCAGTGTGGAGGTACAGGCAGGCCAGGAGATCAGTGTGGAGGTACAGGCAGGCCAGGAGATCAGTGTGGAGGTACAGGCAGGCCAGGAGATCAGTATGGAGGTACAGGCAGGCCAGGAGATCAGTGTGGAGGTACAGGCAGGCCAGGAGATCAGTATGGAGGTACAGGCAGGCCAGGAGATCAGTGTGGAGGTACAGACAGTCCAGGAGATCAGTATGGGGGTACAGGCAGGCCAGGAGATCAGTATGGGGGTACAGACAGTCCAGGAGATCAGTGTGGGGGTACAGACAGTCCAGGAGATCAGTGTGGAGGTACAGGCAGGCCAGGAGATCAGTATGGGGGTACAGGCAGGTCAGGAGATCAGTATGGGGGTACAGACAGTCCAGGAGATCAGTGTGGGGGTACAGACAGTCCAGGAGATCAGTGTGGAGGTACAGGCAGGCCAGGAGATCAGTGTGGAGGTACAGGCAGGCCAGGAGATCAGTGTGGAGGTACAGGCAGGCCAGGAGATCAGTGTAGGGGTACAGACAGTCCAGGAGATCAGTGTAGGGGTACAGACAGTCCAGGAGATCAGTGTGGAGGTACAGGCAGGCCAGGAGATCAGTGTGGAGGTACAGGCAGGCCAGGAGATCAGTGTGGAGGTACAGGCAGGCCAGGAGATCAGTGTGGAGGTACAGACAGTCCAGGAGATCAGTGTAGGGGTACAGACAGTCCAGGAGATCAGTGTAGGGGTACAGACAGTCCAGGAGATCAGTGTGGAGGTACAGACAGTCCAGGAGATCAGTGTAGGGGTACAGACAGTCCAGGAGATCAGTGTGGAGGTACAGACAGTCCAGGAGATCAGTGTAGGGGTACAGACAGTCCAGGAGATCAGTGTAGGGGTACAGGCAGGCCAGGAGATCAGTGTGGGGGTACAGGCAGGCCAGGAGATCAGTATGGGGGTACAGGCAGGCCAGGAGATCAGTGTGGAGGTACAGGCAGGCCAGGAGATCAGTATGGGGGTACAGGCAGGCCAGGAGATCAGTGTGGAGGTACAGGCAGGCCAGGAGATCAGTGTAGGGGTACAGGCAGTCCACAACACCCCACATTATGTACCCCCCCCCCTTCTCTCTGGTGGGGATGGTTCTATGAACCATTAATTGGGTCAGAGAACTGCTATTTAAGTCTTTCACCTCAACTTGTTAACTTCTTGTAGTTATCCTCTCAGAAAGCAACGCTCACGTCAGAAGGAAAAGCCACTGGGAACAGTCATGGGCTGTACACGAAGCTTTATGACTCTTGAGCGATGAACGCTGACATTTGTAGTATCTAATGTGTGTGTTGGTTATTTGAGCGCCAGACGCATGTAGATAAGATAGATAGATATAGATAGGTAATAGTGAGGGGGGGGGGAATGGAAGGTTAAGAAAGGGCAAAGAGTGATAACGGTTGCCATAGTGATGGTGAGTTATCACCCCATTCCTCCCCCCCCCCCCTTCCTTCCCCTCTCCTACCTTTCCTTCCCCGTCTCCCCTTCACGCATCCCCTCATCCCTACCCATCCCTACCCACAGGTGTCAGGGGGCCCAGACACTATAGGGGGGTGTGGTGTGGGTGCCGGGACTGGCACTCGGGAACGCTGCGGCACTCTTCCAGCAGGCACTGTTCCAGAAGGCAGGTGAATGGCGTTCGAGCAGGCACTGTTCCAGTAGCAGGAACCCCGGGACAGAAGTGTTCAAGCAGGCTGTGGTGGTAGCACCAGGCATCACGAACGATTGCAGTTTCAGACCTATTTTGTGACCAGTAGATATGGGGATTTTGTTTTTACGGACTGATATAAAAAATGGTCGGAATCTGTGGACCTTTTTGATGGCCTAAAAAAAAGGCCCTCTGAATAAATTGGCCAATTCCCAACTTGGTGGATACGGTGACAGGAAGCCAGGTAGTGTATATGACACTTTTATGGTTGTCAAGAAGGTTAAAGACCTACACCATAGTAACCTTTGCATGCTGTTGATGCTAAAGCTCTTTTTTAAATTAAATATGTTGGTGGAGGCTATGTGGGGCATAACTGGCCGACCCCTCACAGTGTTCAAGAGAGAACTGGATAAGCACCTCCAAAGGATACCTGATCAACCAGGCTGTGACTCATACGTCAGGCTGCGAGCAGCCGCGTCCAACAGCCTGGTTGATCAGTCCGGCAACCAGGAGGCCTGGTCGACGACCGGGCCGCGGGGACGGTAAGCCCCGGAAGCACCTCAAGGTAACCTCAAGGTGGTAACATTGTTATAAATAGCTTTTGAACTCTGAAAAATCTAACCATAAAAGAATGTTGCAAGGATACACAGTTGAGAAATAAAAGAGGGAAGAAGGTATTATGAGCCCAGCGGCCGTCTTTGATAAACTTACGGTAAAGGGCCTCCACAAGTCTCAAAAAAAATGGACCAAAGTTTGAATGCGTTGGGAATTTTCCTTATCCTTCTTAGTCCAGTTTTTTATGTTGTGTGAAAGATGGAGACTGGAATATTAAGCGTTGAGGGCTGCCCTTGGATACCCACCTCCCACTGTTGGAAGAGAAGGGCTGCCCCTACATACCCAACTCCCACTGTTGGAAGAGAAGGGCTGCCCCGACATACCCACCTCCCTCTGCTGGAAGACAATGGCTGCCCCGACATACCCACCTCCCACTGTTGGAAGAGAAGGGCTGCCCCTACATACCCACCTCCCACTGTTGGAAGAGAAGGGCTGCCCCGACATACCCACCTCCCACTGTTGGAAGAGAAGGGCTGCCCCTACATACCCAACTCCCACTGTTGGAAGAGAAGGGCTGCCCCGACATACCCACCTCCCTCTGCTGGAAGACAATGGCTGCCCCTACATACCCACCTCCCCCACTGCTGGAAAAGAAAGGCTGCCCCCTACATACCCACCTCCCCACTGTTGGATGAAGAGGGCTGCCCTTGGATACCCACCTCCCCACTGCTGGAAGAGAAGGGCTGCCCCCTACATACCCACCTCCCCCACTGTTGGAAGAGAAGGGCTGCCCCGACATACCCACCTCCCCCACTGCTGGAAGAGAAGGGCTGCCCCCCGACATACCCACCTCCCCACTGCTGGAAGAGAAGGGCTGCCCCCCGACATACCCACCTCCCCACTGCTGGAAGAGAAGGGCTGCCCCTACATACCCACCTCCCCACTGCTGGAAGAGAAGGGCTGCCCCTACATACCCACCTCCCCACTGCTGGAAGAGAAGGGCTGCCCCTACATACCCACCTCCCACTGCTGGAAGAGAAGGGCTGCCCCTACATACCCACCTCCCCACTGCTGGAAGACAAGGGCTGCCCCGACATACCCACCTCCCCACTGCTGGAAGAGAAGGGCTGCCCCTACATACCCACCTTCCCCACTGCTGGAAGATCAGGGCTGCCCCGACATACCCACCTCCCCACTGCTGGAAGATCAGGGCTGCCCCGACATACCCACCTCCCCTCTGCTGGAAGAGAAGGGCTGCCCCTACATACCCACCTCCCCACTGCTGGAAGATCAGGGCTGCCCCGACATACCCACCTCCCATTGCTGGAAGAGAAGGGCTGTCCCCCGACATACCCACCTCCCACTGCTGGAAGATCAGGGCTGCCCCGACATACCCACCTCCCCACTGCTGGAAGACAAGGGCTGCCCCGACATACCCACCTCCCCACTGCTGGAAGTGAAAGCCTGCCCCGACATACCCACCTCCCCACTGCTGGAAGTGAAAGCCTGCCCCGACATACCCACCTCCCCACTGCTGGAAGTGAAAGCCTGCCCCGACATACCCACCTCCCCACTGCTGGAAGTGAAAGCCTGCCCCGACATACCCACCTCCCCACTGCTGGAAGATCAGGGCTGCCCCGACATACCCACCTCCCCACTGCTGGAAGTGAAAGCCTGCCCCGACATACCCACCTCCCACTGCTGGAAGAGAAGGGCTGCCCCGACATACCCGCCTTCCCCACTGCTGGAAGAGGACGCCCCCACAGTCACCAGAGGCCCAGCCTGGCAACAGATCAACAGGACCATCA